CTCTAACGTGACTACCCCACTCCTCCCCGTTTTCTTTACGGGGCTTTTGCAGGCATGATTATTAGTATAAAATTTTGCATTTTTAAGCCTAAAAGATGTAGTGCCCGCGGGCTTTCCCTGCCCTGCACTCACTTTTTTGCGGGGCGGGCCTAGGTTTTAGGCCCTCATCCTCAACTATGATTGCCCCTCCCCGTCCCGTTTTTTTGCGGGCTTTTGTGGGGCGGGCCTAAATAGAGCAGGCATGCCCGTTTGCCACCCATAAGAATGGGGCAAGCTGTGAATTTTTCATGTGGGATGATGAAGTTGGTCCGGTTTAAAGAACTCAAAATATTCCCACAAATTACTCTAATTGTGAAATGACAATGGCTTATTTGAGGGAATACGCGAAAATCCTTGACAAGGAAGTTGAGACTGAATTTGGCAAGTAGTTTGGTGTAGAATCTAAGTTGGTATCCATTGACCATTATTGAACACCTCATTATCTAACCTCTTCCTAGGTATTGACATAACTTTATGTTGCCACTTCTCAAGTTTGGTGGCAGATGTTGCTAACCTACTCATAAGGTACTTTCCAATCCACTCACATATGGTTAAAATAGGCTTATCCCTAGCAACTAAAATAGTGGTATTAAATGAATTGAATATATTGTTAATTAAAACATCATATTTAGGGTAAAAACTAAATGCATGGTTACACCAACATTTGGTAGAAACTGCCATTAACCAAGTCCAAGCCTTGACGTCTACTTTCTTCAGTTCATTCATCTTTTGGATCTAACCTTGATAGTAAATGACCTTAGTAGCTCCCACCATCAAATCCCTTATAAGGTTCCACCACCAAACCATTTCTTAAAATTTGCATACAAGTGTCTGAGACACAACCTATCCTTAATTCTTTCAAACATTTCTTCAAAAACAACCACTAATCCTTGAAACAAATTCAAGATATGCATTAATTTAGAAACAGTTATAGGGGATGAAATGAATTGAAAACATGATGTTAATACCATACCTTTTGTTGATCTGAAATGAATACATATCTTCTTTCTTGTCTAATATCTTCCATCAATAACTGTAGAAACCACCTCCAACTCTCCTTTGTTCCATTTCCAACAACACCAAAAGCTAATGGGAAATATTGATCATTTGGATTCCTTCCCATAACAATTAAAAGTTATCCACCATATTTGGTCTTCAGATGACAACCATAAACTCCAACAATGTTCTACATCCATTTATGAAACCCTTCTTACAACCATCAAAACATAAGTAAAATAAGTCAAACCTTAGTTGCATCAATAATTTTCGTTGCTATCAACTTTACCTTCCATGCTCTAGCAACATTGATCCCCACAGAGAAAATTTGCCTGATATCTTGCATAATATCATGTATTTACACTATTTTCAGAAGTTTTCATTTTTTTCACTACTGCCTTGGCCACCCACTTTAAGCTTACAGATCTATTATTCAAAACCATAACACATGTGTGGGTATCCACCAATGTCTTTATAGCACATGTATGCTTGTGGCCTACTTTAAAGCATATAACTAAAAAATCACATTTAACCTTGTATTTTACCATTACCCCATAACTCTCATTTTTTACAAAGGTAATTTTTGTACCATAACACTGACCACTCACGAATTTCCTCTATAAAATCAGCAAGAGAATTAAATTTCATACCCACTTAAAATTGTAGTCTTTATTGACATTCTATTTCCTAAACCTTTCAAACTTGGGCCAATCATCATCACCAGATTCATTTGGATATGATTTGTCCAATTCATCACTACAAGACTCGTCATATTCAATTTTCTTTTTGGACCTACCTAGTAATCGTGCAACTATATCCCCTCCATTTATAGGTACAATTACATCAACTCCATCAAATCCATCTACAAGAGTAATAGCTCTACCATCCTCACTATCATCAAACCCTTCAACCACCTCATCACACTTGTTTCTTCCATATTTGTCACCCTATTAACACACTTAGGAACTCATACTTTTAGTTTTATGTCATTAACATCATGTTCCACATAAATATCTCCATCAACTTGAGTTGCACAGGCATATGCAGCAAAATCTTATGCATCATCATCCTTCCTTATCTGAAAGAAATCTTCATCTATTTCCAGAATTTTTTTCCACAACCTATAACTTCCTTCTTTATAACCCCACCTATTCACCAAGTTACGAATTTAAGTTATTGTCTATTTATCAATGTGTTTCCTAGAAACTATCGTATTCACACTTTCTCTATACATGATATCATTCTTCTTGACCATTATAAATTCACCTCATGGTAAAAAATTACATTAAAATGTTGCATGTTCTATGAAATGGATTTGAAAAAAAGATTTAATATTCTCATGCGCCAACCAATACAAAAAGAAACTCATACGATGGAAGAGAGATCGAAAAAACTAACCTCTGATATCGGAAGCTTCAATGGTGTCTTCGACCATGCTTCGTCTTCAACCGTCCAGAAACAAATTTGTCTTCGTCTTCACTATTGCGTCCAGCCTTGTCTTCGTCTTCATTCCAACGAAAGTTGCTTGATTTGAGATTTTCAGACTAACCCTAGCATTTACAAGGGGTAATTAAATAGGACAAAAACGTAAGTTAAAAAATTGTAAAATAAATCTACGTCAGATAAAACTTATATGCCACGTTGAATTAAAAATGGAATATAGGTTGAAATAGTGCACCCCAAGGGCCATAGATAGGAATTCTTCATATTATAAGGGGAATAAAAAAAATATTTTACAAGGGTGTAAAACAAATCTCACTTATATTGCCGAGAATATCATATATTTAAATCTATATAAAATTATCTATGTTGTTAATTTTTGTGAAATTGACAAAATGAATTATAATTTGATATAGAATAGGAAGAGTGTTAAAAGAAAACTTAATTTCTTATAAGCCAAAATAATTATTATTTCTACAACTGTGGTTAAATGTTATTTCCTCATCAAAACTCAAAAGTTTTGGCCTATCACTTTTTCCTGATGTTCCTTATTGTGAGAAACCACTTTTTCCTGATGTTCCTTATTGTGAGAAACTTGTCCATCTTAACGTGTTCTCTCTATGTCTCATAAATGTTCTATTTAGATTGTGAGAGGTTTAAGAAAATGACTAATTGCATTGAGTATATGGTGGAACCAGAAGAAATGGATTTTGAGAGAACGAGCTCTTCGGTGCGGTGGCGAAAATGACGAAGCTGAATGAACCTTCAATATTAACTCTCCAACACTCAAATTAGTAAAGTCAGAGAGATATAATTTGTTAGAGTGAAAAGTGAGATAATACCTATAAATGACGTGTGGTAGGACGTATATGTGACCAATTGTTAATAATATCTTCTTTTAACCTGACGTGTCATCCAATCAAATTTAATGAAGAAAAATGTTTGGATGAGTAAATATTCTTCAATTGTGGCTAAATATTATTTCCTCAACCAAACTCGATCTTTTTACCTCTTTCTCCTAAGGTTCCATACTAAAGGAAATTTAGTCATCCTAATGACAATGACAGTTCTACTGACCCCCAAGATATCTTCAAAAAGCATTTAATCAGTTCCTCACTTTAGAGACACATATTACTACTTTAGATTCTTTTGTCAGTCAAACTATTGTGCGTTGTGTTGAATCGTAATTCATAGTGTCGAAAAGATGTGTCGAATTAGATTTGATTTAGTTTCAAAATAGATATTTTGGGCTTTTATAATTTTGAATTTTGCTTTAGAGAACAAGGTAACCTAAATCTATAAATAGAGGGAGTAACTCCTATTTTAAAATTAATTAAGTTATATTTACAGAATTTGTTGAATAAGAAGTTTTCATTATCTTTTTTTTCTTTTATATAATTCAATATTATTATATGATGATATCAATCTTATTAATCAAAATTAATAAAAATTCATCGTAAATTTTAGTGAATTTCCAAATGCTATTGTTGAACCTAAAATAGTTTGAATACAATATTATTTAATTTGGTTTTGATGATAAAAGTAATGTAAGATAATAATTTTATTGCCTTATGTTTGTTACTTGTATAGAAACATTTATTAAATTCTTTGTAATGTTACTTCTCAAAAGAATAAGAAAGTTTTACTAACAATCCTCTGATATATGAATCTAGAAGATTCCATGTGATACAATAATAATCAAATATCTTAATACATTTGTCTAGGGGCACATCATTGAAGATTGATTCACTGTATTATCAATGCTATAATCTAGTCTTGAGAATTTAAGGATTCATCGGTTTCTTCTGATATACAAGAAAGTTTAATCTCGAGTCACGTCATTCCTAGGTACGATTCAAACTTATATTTATATTATCTTAAACAATATAAATAAATAATAATATCTATTCAGAATTTCTTTAGAATTTACGAATTAGTTTTTGGAGGAGCTAGAAAATTATATTTATATCTTAAAATGTATTTGTTATTTTAAAAAAAAATTTAAAAATAATATATCATATTAACATATAAGATCATGTTATTTTTTACACATTTTAGAAATATCAAATATATTTCTAAATATAGACATAATTTTCTATTACATTCTCCTTCAAAAATCAATTATCAAATAACCCCATAGCAGATCTTCAACGCTAACTCGAACTCAAGTTAATTAGTAAGTTTAAAAAACAGTATCTTATGCAAAAATATAGCACTAACTCAAAAGGTGTCGATATCATTATTTACAATTTTTATATTGAGAAAAAAATCACAACACAAAAAATCGTTACGGGTAGCAGCAAAACGCAGTTGCTGTAAAATGTCCATTACCGCACCTTTACATACGTGAAGTTTTCAAAATCTGAACCGATCACAGAAAATATTTTTTATAAATATTAAGATTAATTAACATAAACATTTGAAATCTGACATTCAAATTTCAAAAATGTCAATATTAGAAGTCAGAACACTAGGCCTATTCTTCTATTCTACTAGTAACAATGTTAATAAAGAAAAAATCTAAACTAGTGTAATTGATTTCTCTTCTTCTGTGATATGAATGAAACTCTGAGAAAGTGCCACACTACATCAAATATTATTCGTCTACCTCGTTTAACCAAACTCTTGCGCCGGTTGCCTGCAAAACTCAACATCACCAACACCGTGACCCATATCACCATGGTGGCTCGGAGAGACACGACCGCCGCGGTCGCAACAGCCGCCGTAACAGCCACATAAAGAAAGGTTGGCACCGTGAAATAATCAAACACATAATAAAACACGGCCAAGGAAACCAGCAGTTTTGTGATTATGTTTATTCTGGTCATATTTCGCAGAAGGCTCTCATAAACCAAAGAAAGACGCTAAAAATAATAATGAAAGAACGAATTGATGGATATAATAACCAATAAAGATTATTTATAGTTTTTGTATTTTTGGTGAACTATATTATGTTATTGCATAAATCATGTGCAGCACATGCGGGTGTTGGAGAAGTGGTTTTACGACAATATTTAATGAGTCTTGGAAAAGGGAATATTCCTAGTTGATATGGTCACTAGTCCATATTGGATTAATTTTTGTGATATTCTAATTATTAAAAACGCGTTACTTTTGTATAATGGTATGGTAGTAATAATTTGATCAAAGAAAATACGTGGAAAGGGGAGAAATTTCTAATTTGATTTTTGTATCCTATTGAAATTGATATTGATATGCCCATGGATAAGCAATTAATAATAATATATGATAATATTATATGAAAGAGTAAAAAAAATTAATAATAGTATAATTATATTAGATCTTAATTAGGATCAATTTAGGCCTGATATTTTAGGCATTTATTACTATCAATAAATTGGTATGCATATGGCTAAAATCTAACAATATGAATTAGAATATTTAAAGAAGAAAAAAATTCCCTTCGATTCTCTTGAGCAGGGAGATTTTCAAATTTTAATGGGTGTCCGAATTGGACATACTTTTCTTTCATTTGAAAGATTAAATTTACTTCGAGCTTGAAACTACTTGAATTGTTTTACAAAAAAAACTTAGTTCATTTTATTATTAATACAATTTAGAATACATATTGGTAAATTTTCTCGTTAATTTGTCTCTTTATTAAACTTAACCCAAGAGTTTCTAAAGAATTAGGCTAATAAGCTTTTAAATTCATAAGTAATAGTATTAAAATTTAAAAATGTTTGGTTGCTATTTATTAACACTATACATTTTACTTTTAGCATCCATCTCAAAATCCACGTCATTAAAACCAAGATCATGCACTCATTTAATAGATAAAAGAAGGTCTAAAGTTTCCCTTATATCAACTTCAGTAATAGGAGAAAATCACTAAGTCTGAATACAAGCACCTATTTTTTCTTTGTTACAAGAATTAAAGAAGGATGTGTTGCATTTGAGACGTCCAACCAAAAGTTTACTCCACATAACATTTATAGATCTTTGAATTTGGGTGACATATTGAAGTTATGGACCATTAACTCTATCCTAATAACAAATAAGAAGCACAATAACAAATAATGTATAAAGAGTCATTTAGATGGTTTTTGATTTGATTGTTCTTACATTTTCAGATACTCTATTAAATGGTTGAGAGTAGTGTCGTTTGATCTTGATTTAAAACCTGCAAAAACAAAGAAAAAAACTAATGTTGCAAAATAGGTGTTATCATTCAACAGCTGTTGTAACATAGGCTACACACCCACTTTCTCCTAGCACTTAATACTCTTCAGGCACTATAAAATAGATTCTTAATACCTTTAACTCCTTTACTACATACACCATAATGAATAGGACGCAAAACACATATGTCTATCAAACACATTCTAGTTGGCACACAATTTCTGCATAAACGCCACAAAAATTTTATAACCCTTGGAGGGGTCTTAATTTCCAAAAAAAAAAAACTCCCACTTCTCAAGAATCCTAAGATATGAGGTATCAATAGCATCTTCCATAAATAACAATAAGCGCTACGGACTGGAAATCTTTCATTATTTTCAAACTTCCACACTAACTTATCCACTTGAACAACTTCAAACAAAGGAGTATTGAAAACCTTCACCGCTTCTTCACCCCAACTAGAGTATGAATCAAGTTTGAGTTTCATTGCTTAGCATTACTAACCAATGAATCTGAAACTTTTAGATTATCCACTATCGCGTTGGTCGACCAAGGATTATCCAACGAAGTGCTATCATACAACTAATTTTGGTCCCATATCAGGGTATTCTCTACCGATCAAATACTCTACATGTACCCACCTCGTACCATAAATTTTAAACTCTATATACTATGCCACACATAATTGAGGGTTGTGCCTAATAATCGAACTAAGGAAAACGCATTTAGGAAAATACTTAGCCTTGTAAAGACGAGTGACTAAATTACCCGAATTTTTCATAAAGCTCCAAGCTTGTTTATTAAGCATAACATTAATTGAAGGCGCGTAGATTTTTGAACCCCATGCCTTTTTCATTCTTATGCATAGAGAAACATTTTCAAGAGAGCCAATGTATACCCTTAGCACGATCTCGATTATGCCCCCACCAAAAGGAATTCATTATTTTCTCAATTTCATCACTTAAAGAGGCTGGCAACAAGAAATACTCATTGCATAAATCATAACAGATTGGAGAACTCACTTGATAAATGTATGCCTCCTTGATTGAGATAGACTCTTACCACTACATGAGTTAACCTTTTTCCAAATTCTATCTTTTATAAATTTGAAAGTTGATTTTTTTACTTTTACCAATCATAGATGGTAGTCTGTGACACTTGTATATACCCAAAATTGAACTCCTAAAATATTAAACACTGCATGAGCCATATGTCTACTATAGAAAAAGTCAAAAATTTTAAAATTAATGGCTTGACCCGAAGCTTCTTCATAAGTAGTAGTAATTGGTTGTAGGCTTGGGTGTATGTGGTTTCATAATGTTGTAGGGTTGATTGTTGGATTTGGGTGGATTGAAAATGTTGTTGAGTTTGGTAATGTTGTGAATATGGTTGTTGGGCGTATGATGACGAAGCTCGTTGGCATGAGTCGATCAAATATCTTGAGTGAGACAGAAATAATGATGTTGAAACTTATGTATACCAATTCATATAACTTCGAGTTAGTCTAGCATCGTCTGGTATGATTGGTTTGTTTATGGTCACTTGATTTAAGTGCTTCCATTGACGACACGCATCCCTAGCAAAGTCTTTCCCATCTCTATAATTCCATGGGCATCAATTCTTAGTTGATTCCATTCTCCCAAACACGTTGGGGGGTTTAGGATTTGTTAATGCGTGTCGAACTGTAGTTTTACACGGTCACTCTAGTTCATCTTCAAAGTAGTGAACCAGATGGTTTCTATTTTTGCAGTCTAAACTGCAGCATCCTCGGGGTTAATCTCATGGTCGAGACCCAGATACGGCCTCTAGACAAACTATAGAGGAAAAATACATTATTAGAAGATTAGTAAATAGGTAATATTAAACTAAAGGCTTAAATAGTCTTTTGGTCCCTTTAAGTTGGCGTATTTTTTATTTTCGTCCTTGTATCTTTTTTTTCTTGAAAATGATCCCTGAATGTTAAAATCCTTTTGGTTTTAGTCCCTAAAGTAAAAATCTGCAAGAAAATCAGCAGGAAACCTGCAGATTTTCTTGCGGATTTTGATTTTAGGTACTAAAACCAAATGAAATTCAACATTTAAGGACTTTATACAAGAAAAAAAAAAGATACAGAGACGAAAATAAAAAACACGTCAACTTACAGTGACCAAAAGACTATTTAAGCCTAAACTAAATTAATGAGATTTTAGTTGTTTAGTTGTAATACCAGACATAACTTGTGTTAGTGGAAATATAATTTTTCATCGACTATTTTGGGTGTATGAACCATGTATCAAAGGTTTTTCATTCTCCAAACCTATTATACAAATTGATGGAACATGGTTGTACGAAAAATATATAGGAACGTTACTCATGGCAGTGGTACAAGATGGTAGCCGTAATATTTTTCCAATTGCCTTCGCTCTGGTTGAAGGTGAAACTGTTGGTGGGTGGAGTTTCTTTCTCAAGCATCTTTGGTTACACGTTTCTCCACAACCCAACCTATGTTTGATTTCAGACAGCTGTCCATCTACTAAGAGTGCTTACAATAACCCTGATAAGGTTGGCAAGATCCTCATTCTACGTATGTTTATTGCATTAGACATCTTGCAAAAATATTCATGTGGAAGATCAAGGACAAGAAGCTTAGAAAAAAAGTTATGAATGTAGATTATGCCTTAACAGAACCATCCTTCCAGCACTACTGCGAAGAGATCAGGTTGATAAATGTGGATGCATTAAGGTGAATCGACAATATTCCAATAAAGAAGTGGATTAGGACATTTGGCAATGGTCAACGATGGGGGCACATGACAACAAATCGTGTGGAATCAATGAACTTTGTCTTCAAAGGAATATGAAACCTGCCGATAACCGCATTAGTGAGAGCAGCCTATTTTATATTGGGGTCACAGTTCGAGACCAGAGGTTCAAAATGGAGGTCAGTGTTACAATCGGGGTAGTAATTTAGTGAAAGCTCTATGAAATTTATTCAGGAGGGACCTACAAAAGATAACACACACGGGGTTACAATGTTTGACCATATTAAAGGTTGGTTCAGTGCAGAGGAGACAATGGACCATAATAAGGGGCAACCAAGTGGATACTATCAGGTCGAACTAGATATAGGTTGGTGCGATTGCGGAAAGTTTCAAGTCTTTCGTATGCCTTGCTCCCATGTCATAGAAACATGTTCACATGCTCGCCATGACCCTTCCACCCATCTATCCTCTGTTTACAAAGTTAGTAACGTATTTAATGTGTACAACAATAGCTTCTCGTTGATAAAAAAGGAGGATTATTGGTCTAGTTATGAAGGGGACATTGTTTGGCACAATGAGCACATGCAAAGGAAGAAAAAGGGTCACCCTAATAACACGCATATTCAAATCAAAATGGATACGACACACAAAATGGTAAGCTTATGCAGTACATGCCGACAACCCGAACACAATCAAAAAAATTGTCCCAATGTTGGGTCAAGCTCCGCAACATAATTATTGTATGCACTCTAGATATGTAATTTATTTTTTGTAACTATAAAATTCCATATTAAATTAAACTTTCATTTCACATTCAAGACAATATTCGGTTACAACAAAATAAAGACAACCACACATAAAACAACAACACAATAAACAAATAAACGACTAAATATGTCAACATATCTAGGAGATTATAACCATCGGGACAATATCGGCTAATC